TGGCATACGTATATTGCAGAGAACCAATGCATTAGCTTTTCTGATACATTTTGTAGTAGCACACACACTGGGATTCTTTGCCAATACTAATTTGAGCCTGCATTCCAGTAGCCTGTGTTCAATGCAGTCAATAATTACAGTCTACTTTGTCTTTTGTTTTTCTCCATGGAAACCCGCATTTTCTACAAAGGCTTTAGGAGCTCATGCCATCATCTGCAAATGTCACAAATACAGCAGGATACCAATTTTTTTTTCCTGTGCAAAAATTATTATGATAATGGGAAAAGCTGAAACTAAAGAAATCCTGAAAATAAAGCAGTCTAAACTAGGTAACATTTTTTCCTGAGATAGAGCCATTTCTTGTTATGCTAGGAAGGAATTCTAGCTGAAAATAAGGGCAACTTAACGGAAAATAAGGACTTGTTAAAAATAAAGCCTGTATACAATCTGCTACTAATAGAGTGCATTACATTGTTATCTCATAAAATCAAGCTTGCATGCATGATTAGCAGGTTAAACTTTGATTCTACTCAATTTTCTCTCTCCCCATGTTTCCCCATGAATAGATAATGTAATTGATGTTTTGCCCCCCAGCTTCAAATGCCCTGACTGTCTTAGTGGAATGCCAGACAAGTTTAAATTCGTGTTATTGGCTCTGTGCACCTTGTGGACCTGTAAAATATGTATCAAGGCTAGAACTGACAGAGATGCAGCAGCTGGCTGTAAGTTAGATGTGCCAGAAAATTGTGGCATTATCCATTCCAGTGAAAGTAGTTATGAAAAGCAATCATGTTAACTAAATATGAACTAAGTAACGAGATTGGAGTTTAATTAAAAAATTAAAGCAAGTGGAAACCTGTTTATTATTCTGTTAAATTCTTTACACCATCCAAAGTATTATTTCCATAAGTATTTTTCGATAATGGACTAATAGAAGATGTTGCTACTATCTTGGGGAAGAAGTGATAAAATAGGTGAGGTGTGGGGATAGACGAAGACTTTAGCCTCCAGTCGAATTTCCTGGTGCCATGAAATTACAGATGCAGATTTCTCTTTAAGTATGAAATAATGGAAGCAGAATCCCATATTTTCTCTCCCTTTGAATTGTCTAGGCAGCCACATTCAGCCTGGTGAGTTCCAACTCTTGCGTGAACAGGAGTCACAGTCAGTTTCTCAGCTGGGAGATGGATATTTCTGCATTCCTATCTAGGCTGGGGCAACCTGCCTGCTTATACTTGTGGACCACATCTACCATCACTGCAAATAGCCAGGTTACTCTGTCTGGGTTATGAGTAGAGAGGTTGATGCCATGTTCTTTCTGAAATATGATTTCCTTTAACCTACATGTCCTTTAACAATTGAGAACTATGGTACTAGAAGTAGACACCATGTTAATAGACATGTTAATAATTTCCCTTGAAGATTTCATGTAAAAAGTTAGTAATAGAGAGATTCCAAAAAATAATGGGTCGGTGGTTTCACTAAGATAGGAAATAAGGTGCTACTTTGAAAAACCCTATGTAACCCGTTTTAACCCAATGAAAACTATTATTAGTTTCCTGTCTCTTTAGCATCTGAAAACTATACCAAGGGTAATAATTCACAAAATCAGTGAAAGGCATTTCAGAATACAGATGTAACAGGGTTGGGACTTTGGGAATATCTGGAGATGAGAAAAAGTGGCTGCCTGAATGAAGCAGATCATGAAGCCTCTGACATTTCAAGAGTGCCATACAAATTATAAGCAGCATGCGATATTTTAAAGAATTATATGTGTAACAGATAGGGATTTTTTTATTTATTTAGTTTAAAGCAGAGTCTATTGTGCTATTTTTCCAACTTTACAACTCTATGAAGCTTTTAATGATTTGTAAAATTATTTCTTGTTCTATCTCCTCACTCCTTCTACAAAATAAAAAACAGAAGCTGCATCTATCTTTTTTAATTACCCATCCCACTCCAAACCCCAAAACCATTTGCAGCTGAAACAGAAACCAAACCTTTTCTTTAAGAGAGGTCTTTCAAAATTGAGGTGATAGCAACAGGCTTCTGCTATGCTACACCATAACAAGCAGGCACACCAGATAAATTCAGCTTCAATTTCTCTGAAAACTGTTCAGTTGTTTTACTGGCAGCTGTTTGGATTTCAGTGCCATGCTACAAAACACTCTTTTCTAACATGACATTTGTGAAGCTGTAATTCTGGTAGCAAAAGAAGGTATTCCTAACTGGAAAGATGAAAGTGCAAGTGAGCATCTATTATGGCCTTCTTATTATTTGAATTAGTATGTTACTAATTTATTGCTCAAGAAGACCTGCATTATTATCAGCTCCAGTGCTCTTTATCAGAAGGAGCCCCATGCACTGGAGTACAGATCGTTGCCACTTGAGTTAAAGACTCTGTTCTTTCCTGTGGCAATAACAGTGGAATGTTTTCCAGAAATTAACACCAAGCACTGGATAAAAATACATTGAACACTGCATACTTTGTCTTTCCCACAGTCTTGTTTTTTACTGATCAGTATCATGATTTATCAATTCATTTTTACAGAGGTAAAGTAGCAATGATTGTCCAAAGGAATATTGAGAACGGATGAATGAGTGCATGAAGAAGACTTTCATTTGAGATATAAGAATATGCTTTAGCAAATACAGGTTTTGTTTGGTAAACACTGTGAAAGAAGAAGGAGCCTAAAAACATGACAGCTTGATGAAATTGAGCATTTTCAAACTTTTCAGAAAAACATTAGCTCAGAGCTTAAATGCATTGGGTTGATTAAAATACTGAACCATCCTTTCAAAAACAGGGAAAACATTCCTCAATCTGAAAGAGCATAATCCCAGGGGTGCAATTTATTATAGGATAAACTTTCTCCAGAATCTTTTTGTCCTCTCTGATATATATCATCTGAATAAATAGAGAAATTGTTCAAACATTAGAGTCCAGCAGAATTTGAACTGCCAGTGAAAATCAAGGAAAGAATAATGGTGGCAAAATAATGGGTATTTTTTTTTTGAAAATCATTTGGGATGAAAGTAGCTTGTGCTTTTTATTTAATTTTCATTTCATCCTTTTCTGAATGGAACAAAATATGGAGCATCTGAAGCTTTTGCTATAAGGGTATCAAGTTTTACACTCTGGGGAGCTTGAGGAATATGAGGGAGAGAGTTGGGAAGAAAGCATCCTTCAACATGCAAGAATGGGAATCAAATCACTCCAGTGCAGTTCTGTGGTTGCACAGTGAGATTTAATACCAGCTAGCAACTACACAATCATTTAAAGCATAAAAAAAAAAAGTCTTGTTAGAACTGAAAATAAGTTTGATAGACTTCATCTGAAATAGTGCATCCTGTTTTGGGTGCCACAATGAGACAGATATTGATCAACTAGTTCAGGGAATGCCAGTGGGATGTTGGGGCTGGAGCACTTGGCTTGTGAGAAGAGTCTGGGGAAGCTGGGCTTGTTCAGCCTGGAGCAGAGATGGCTTGAGGTGACCTAACAACAGCTCTCAGTGCCTGCGAGGAGGTCACTCAGGAGACAAACATGAGGTCTTCATAGGGGTTCAGGGTGGAAGGGCAAGAGACAGTGCTCTTAAACTGAGATTGGAAGAGTTCTGACTGTATATATTGACAAAAAAAAAATTCATAATGAGATTAGTTAACTGTTGGCACAGGTGGTCGAGGGAGGATGTGTAATCTCTATCCTTGGAGGTTTTGAAGATTCAACTGGCCAAAACTCTGAGCAGCTTGCTCTGAAGACAATTTACCCAGATCTGAGGAAAAGACTGGAGTAGAGACCTCCAAGATCCCCTTCAGCCACAGTTATTCAGTTGATTCTGCGGTTCTGTCTAAGAAAATCAGCCTGGACATTTTTCTGTGAATGTTTATGGATGGTATAAACACAGAGTGGCAAACTATGGAGCTGAAGTATAAGATTAACATATCTTAGAAGGTAGCAATTTCTGTCTGAATGAGAAAGGCATTGCCACTTGTAATTTTCTTAATTCTTATAATTCCCCTTAATGTGAAGTCTGAGTGAAAAACAATTGCTGTATTTGTCCACAATATATATAACCAGACAATCAGTTATGCTTTCAAATTCAAGTGAATCTTTGAATTTGGCTCTCTTCTATTCTGTAAAACCAATAAGTCACTTAAAAATTATTCAGTTGAAGAAACATCAAAACAAAACAAAACAAAAACCTATCTAGACCTCCTAAATAATGAAGCAGAATGAAGTATAATCTGAAATTCTTCTGACTTGGAGTTCTCTTCTGAGGCTTTGTCCAAATCCTATCTCTATCTCTTTCTGCCTATTAAAACATGTCTTTCTAGCTGCCTGGAGATTTTTCTCAGATTCCCAGTTCTTCTTTATTTCCCTTTATTCTGCCTAAGTTACTGTCAATGATTCCAAACCTTATGAGACCATTGCAATTTTCAAGAGACTCAAACAGGATATAAGATCATTTTTTTCTGGCCTCCCATGCTACCATCCTAGTTAGAAATACAATGAAATTTATTTAAATGTAATAACTGTTCATAGTGTGCATGACAAAAAAGCCACTTAGAACACAAGGTATTTCAAATTAAGCTTTTTATGGCTTTTCTATCATGCTAAAAAATTCTATGCACCTTTATGAAAAATATGGGAGAAGAGGCTGCTTGGGAGTAGTTCTTTGAAGACACAAGCAGCCTCTAGCTGAAGAGCACTGGAAGTCTATCAGAGGGAAGGCAGCAACGGCTTAAGTGGAAGATGAAAACTAAGGCAGCCCAGATGCAATAAGACTGCAGGGATGGTTTTATTTGAAATTCCTGTAAATTAAAAAATATTCTTGTAATTAAACCAAACTGAATCCCCATTGCAAATAATATCACCCTGAAAGAGTAATGACTGAATGCACAGGTTTGTACCAGTGAGAAGAGATTAGATCTATTATTATATTAAAGTAGTCCTTGTTTCTGATAGTGCTATAAAAATTACCTGTTTATCCTTTCCTTACCTGCTTCATTTGTTCTGATCACTCGTGATGGTGCACTTGGGTCTCCAGTCCCAATTTTATTCATTGCTACTACTCTGAACTCATACTCCACCCAAGGGTTCAGTTCCACAGCCATCGCAGACTCCATGTCACCACTGATCAGATCTGGAACTGTAGAGAGTAAAGAAATGTGAAAGTCAATCAGAAAACTGAAGGTCACATGCAGGATCTCAGCAGTAAGTGGACTTTGTGATACAACATGGTCATTAGAAATGATTGACACCAAGGATCTAATGTGTCAGAAATCGCAGCTAGATTTTTGGCACTGTAGTACTCCTGAAAAGACACAGATTGAAGAGTTTAGGGGAGAGCTTTCTGCTTATTCACAGACGCATCATGGCAGGTGTCTTTGTGCTGTCCTTTCAGAGCTGTTGCTAAGTAACATGAAAGGAATGAGAAAAAGGAAAAAAAAACACAAAAAATCAGTGCTTTTAATTTGTCACTGTTCTCTTATGAGTATCTGTTCCTGTAGTTGACAGTGGTTATTATTGTGACGTTCAGGAGTTTTGAACAGTCTACTTGTGCTGTTTTAAACTTTCTCTCACCTGTTCTTACGCTCTGCCAGCCAAGAGAAAATGGACTGCGTGCTTGCAGGTTGTAGAGGGAGATAGGGCTGTGATTGTCTGCCCCAGGACTCCAGGAGAGTGTTGCTGTGGTGTCTGTAATTTCCTCCACTATTACAACCCCTGGGGGACCAGGAGGACCTAGAAATAAAGCGGAATAATCAAACAGACTACACCGTCATGGTGGATGAGAAGCAATAATACAGGAGATGCATTCTGGGGGGACCCGGCCAAGTTAAATGTCCACGAAATACAAGAGTTACAATGCACAGTGCTACATCATGGAGATACCTCATTTCCACGATTTCTGATGGCAAAATGTGATTGTTGCTATGCTTTAAATGCTGCATGGGTGAACATCAGTTAAGTTGACAGAGTGACAACAGAAGAACTAGAAATAGAAACAGATTAAAAAACACTGCAAAACCACCATATTATTCTGCACCTAAAATTAGAGGAAAAAAGGAGCAACTTTAAGAAGCATCCAGGTTAGACTGAACAGTCACAATCACATCTTCTCTTTGTGTGAGACTTGTCAGCAGAAAGACAGATAGTAAGCAAAATGAAGCATAAGTGCACGTGCTTCATGAAGACAATAATATTCTTATTAACTGAATCAAGAATACAGCATTCATCCTTTTTTTCAAATTCACTCATTCAGGGAAGCTGACTGGGTTACTAATATACTGCAAGTCCATTAACTGTTTGATTAAAAACTATTAAAAACAAAATAAAAACCCGAGCCCAAATATTTCGAAAGCTGAAAATTACTGTGGTACCATTAAAAGCAAAGAAACAAAAAACCCCACTGTGACTTCTTACTTTGAAAAGTAAAGGATTATTTTTTCTACTTCACTGCACCAAATGAGAATATGCTAATCATCATTTGTATCAGTCATGTGACTGCTGCAATAAGTGAGATCTCTGGTAACAAAGATGACTTTGCAAAGAAAAATGTGGCTATAACATCCCAGTCCCATCCATAATATTCTTATTTAATTATACTTGATAATTGATATTACTGTTGTTTGAAAACATGGGTCATTCACACTTTCCAAACTGAATTGGAGGCAAGTTTGTCCTGGTTCAGGATCCTCTTTCACAGTTGCTTTTAACCAGATGTTTTGGGGAAAGTGTGAGTCTCTGTCACAAATAAATGTAAAACAAACAGCTCTCTTATGGTTTCTTATACTTAAAAGCTTATATAAGTCCTGAAGAATAGAACTTAATACTTGTGTAAAATATTCATATCATTAATATCTATAATTATTTATGAAAAATCTGGATTTTTTTGGCATCTGAGAGCCTTCTGATTCTTTCCATCCTTTTGTTGTTGAAGGCTGATGTTTTGCTTCTGCTCCTACACAGATGGAGGACTGTGAAATCAGAAGTGCAGTAATGGACACGTTCTCCCAAAAGGGAACTGTGGGAAGGATGATGATGGAAACAAAACTCCATTAATAGAAAGTCATTGCTGCTACACTTTGAGGTAGCCCAGCGCTGTTTGCATGTATTATCAGCTGTAGTGGAGTAAGACTTTTGAATACCTCCATCCCATGAGCTGTGGTGAGCTGTGTGGTCCCAACTGTTGAACTGTCAGAGCTCAGCACCTGCAGATTAGGACAGCAAGCACTGGGGTCTGGTGCCTCCATTTGAAGGGGAAGTTGCAGCCAGGATTTCTGCACTATTGAGCTCAGCATTATTAAATTTTAGTGCTATTTCATGCAATCAAATCTTTTACTGGCTAGATTCCTCAGTCCATGAATAGAAACAAATTTATCTGAACTTCAAAGGCTAAAAAAATCCCATTTACTGAAATATTTTTAGTTTTTGTGATTTTTCTGTCATTTGCAGCTGCAAACAACTTTAAATTTCCTCTGATACGGCTTCAACAAAAGCATGTTTACTTGAACTATGACAGGAGTAGGATCAGAGTTCTGTAATAGTTGGACTCAAGATCCTCAGAGTGAAAAATCCTATAAATGAGAAAGCAGTTTATGCTATTCACTTGTCTCTATTTGCTTGTCAATGATCTACAAGCAACTAATTGACATTAAAGTGTTGGAAATATATAACATTTGGAAATAACAGGAACAAAAGAGAGAAATAAATGTATGAAATTTGAGCTACTCAATTCAGTAAAGTTTAGTACTATGGATGGATGATGGAAGAATGTTGTCTCTACAGTGCACTGCAGCCTTCTCCACAGGACCCCGGGGTATGGCTCTGGGCCACAGGAAGAAGAGTGTCTTCCGTTTCCATGGGTGGTGAGCAGCTTCAGTGCTGAGGGACTCTCTTACTCTCCCCACTCACCAGGCTTGACTTTGCTGCTGTCAATGTTTTTCATTGAGTTGCAAGCAGTGACTGGAATAAGATGGAGCCACCCCTTGGACACCTTGCAACCCTTGGCCTTCTGGAGTCCTATCTTCATTTGCAGCGGAAAGGTCTTGTGTTCTTCCTCGGAGAAAACATGGCAGAAAGATACGTCCTCTGCACTCCTGCCTTCCTGCCAAGTGTTTCCTGTTCTTTGATGGCAAGCACCAGGTAAGACCTTTGTCTCAATAGAAAGTCCTGGGGCTAATTTAATAAAATAGGGTGATTCTTCAATATCTATCCTCTACTGTTTCAGGCTATCTGTTGATGTAGGAAAATATTAGTGAAATTTTTATTTGTAGCCATGAGGGAAAGTTGAGACATAAGCTGGGATTTTGATACAATCATATGCTTTTACTGGATTGGAGCCCTAGGCCCAGAATTATATCAGGGTTCCAAACAAAAACAAAATTAAAGAGAAATATTTTAGTACTTTTCCTCTACAACAATATTTCTCCCATGCACTCTGGATGTTGATAAAGAGTTTCTAGCCACTCTATTATACAAGAATCCTGCTCATATTAAAGGGTGTAAAATATGTTTATGCAGACATCGCCTGAAAAATTCTCAATATATTTTGTTGTCATAGTTCTCTCATATTATTTAAACCTTTAAAATGCCTTCCTAGGCATGACAATGTGTCATTATGCTTTCGGAGATGTGTGCTCTAACACATTCTGCAGGGTGACTGCTAAAAAACATTTCCATTTCGAACAGCAAGCATTTTTGAAAGTGGATTAATAAAGGACAAAAGCCTCAGTGATGACAAACGTTTGACAGTTAGCCAGGACATGAGTGCTATGCAGATGTCACTCATTTTTGTAGAAATCTCATTAAATTTGATGCTTGGATGTAATCATTCATGGTGTCAGTCACATGGCTAATGCAGAAAGGCTTTTCTCCCAAGGGCTGTGTTATTGCTCAGGATCTCTGAAACAATTTTTTAGCTGAGAATAGCCAATTGAGGAAAAAATGCATGGTCTGCTCAAATGCTTATCTGGAAACTACACAGCAAATGACTGGTCATAAATGCGCTATAGTGCAGTTGACCTTCATAAAGAAGACATTTGCGATAGGCTCTTATGCAGCTCTAGGAGCACTGGAAACCCAGTGTCAAGGACATTAGTCAGTTATCTCCGTTCAGAGCAATTCCATAGATTGATACTTCATTTCAGGACATGCATGACTGCATTTTGGCAAATTTGTTTTATGTATCTTTTTATTGTTGGAATGATCATCCTGAGAGGTTGTTAGATTGCTTGCCATGGTACAATGTTAATGTGAGAGTTCTTGAAAAACAATTACCAATAATAGCTGTAGTCATGCAGTGAGGCAGTGCCCTTTCCTGTGAATCCTAGAATATGTGCTGATATACTCCATTGCTACCTGACCAGGATAATTCTTACTTTCACCAAATGACTAAGAAACCTGATATATAGCAGTTCACAAACATGGATTTCTTAACACCTGAAGATTTTGCTTTTTGAATGACAAGGTACACTGGCTTGTCATCAAGCAAACAAGAGGTCAAGAAAAAGAGGATAAGAGGCAGTAACTACAGAATAGCAGGAAAAGTGCATAAAAATAGCATAAATTCCTTTTGCTATTCCCAGCTATGACAGATGATATATTTGCTCATGGTGGAGAATGAGAGGATGGAGAGAAATTTTGTTGTAGATGCTGTATAGACATATAGACACTATGGTTTTAGTGGATATATTCATAACTGTAGTCCTTCTGTGTGTGGGTACCCAAGTGGCTCCTCTAAGGTACATAAGGGCCCTGGGCAGATGGAGATGTAACCCAGCCAACATCAGGATGGACAGGGAGGTTAGACTCAAGGTTGGAAGGTAAGAAAGAGAAGGTATTGATTGACTGTTTCAACCTGAATAGTCTCAACTCATTTCAGGGATGAGGGTCAAGACAAATCCCTAGTGTCCTGCCTGAGAAGTTCTTTAGTGGTACCCATGTCATGCTGTACTCCTTTGCCCTGACAAATTCTCTGCCTTTTACTAACCTAAAAATAGTGAATTTGGATGAGGCGACCTTGATAGGCTGCTGAGTGTTGTGAGCTCAGATTCCAGACTGCTGTCCATAACCTCTGAGCTGTATATTTGTGTAGTGCCAGTTGTAACTTGACACAAAATGTATGGACAGTGCAGGGAACTCAAATTTCACTTAAGGTGTAAAAGCACTAGTAAGCTATGAATTGCATCATGAATGATATTTGTAGGAGGTTCCAAATACGATAATAGGCTGATTTTTGGAAATGTCTCTTTCCTTGGCATGGCCTGCTGACTACCTTTAGAGCTATAGGGTATCTCTTGCCAGCTCTCCTAGTTCTGGTCCAGGCTGTTTTCTCTCTGCAGTCTAGTGTGAGCACCAGCATCCCCAGGACTACATGCATCTCTTTCAAGTACTGAGTTGATAAACATCACTAAATCTCATCTGTATTTTAGTACTTGTTTCCAGGCACTTTTTTTGATTGAAGTTATAGGTATGAATCAAGTTGATGTTTTTTAAAAAGCTTCTTAGAACAAGGATCTTTTTTAAACTCTTGGAAAAAAAATGTTTTAAAGATAAGAATCTCTTTCCCTTTCATACCATTAAAAATATTATAGAAAAAAAGGTCCTGTTACAAGATCAAATTGCTGGAAATATTTTGATCTGGAATGTGTGGGCTAAAGGGTTGATGTTCCATTACAGTAATATGCTATCTTCCAAAGCTGTAAATGATTTAGCTGATACACTGAAGAGGGCCAAATACA